CGTGCAAACGCCGCAGCTTTACTTAAAAAACTTCCTGTTCCTGACCTGCTGAGGTACAGAAGTCACAGAGTGCCAATATTCACATCCACCTGAAGTCACAGATTTTACTGTCTAAAAAATAAAGGTCAGCACTTCTTTCAGAATTAAAAGAGGACCTGCTGAACAGGAAGTCATCTTCCCCGGATCAGAGGGAGACGTTAGGATTGTGTAGATTATTTATAATATTCTCAGGACCTGGATGTAAACAGCAGATTAGATCCCTCTGAACGCACATCCATCAACACTTCAGGACTAATGTTCAGTTTTTGGCACACGTCTCGTTTTCAGTCACGGAGACGCTCTGGGCTGTAATCTGAACTCTGAAAGTGGGAACAACATTTCCACACAGCGTTGAGCTCAGACGAGACCACGCCGTCACACCCTGACTGACGACATGTTGGTGGACGCTGACAGCACTCTGGCGACCCCTGGTGGCTGAAAGAGGAAGCTGCTGCTGAACATCAGCACGCTGGTCAGGATTTGAAACAAACGGCTCTTTAACAGAAAACTGTCAGGTGGTTCTTCCTGGATGTCAACGACGAGAAAGGTTTACACAATAAAAGCTCCTCCTCTCCTACGGTCATGTGACCCAATCCACCTGTCACCTGTTTGGTCCACAGCACTTTACAAACGTGTTAAATGAGATTTACATGAAGAAGAACACCGTCCCCATGACGATGAGGTGGACGGACTCCAGCACACACAGAAAAACTATGGAAGCCCATTAGTGACAAAACCCACAGAGTGAAACCAGCTGCAAAACAAATCTGACTTTTTCAACAAGAGAAAAAATTAAACAAACTCTCACAAAAAATGTTCGATTTTTCCAAAATTTCTCTCGTAACATTTAGAATTAACTCATGTAAGATTTAACAGGCTCCAGGATTCATCCTCATATTTTTATTTAAAAGTTCACACTGAGATTTTTAACTTGTGGTTTTTAAAGTGAAAGATTTTCAAGTAGTACAAACAACAAAACATCAAAATCTGAATAAATAAGACACCTGGCTCCCTGCAGAGTGAACTCATGAAGTTTTATTTTGTTCCCTCAGCAGATTTTGGTCACTAATGGTCTTCCGTACAGCCTGTTTTTTTTCCAGCAGAAGTCAGAAAAACCAAAAA